TGGAGACTCGACATAGCATAACGGGCTGTAGACACAACTTCTACTCCTTAAGTGTTGTCAAATGGTGGAATTCGCTGCCGATTGAGCTAGTACAAGCGACTTCCCAGGAGTTCTTTAAGAGAAAACTTGACCTATTCCTAAGGATTAAACATAACATCATATTATGATTTACCAATTTCTTTTTTTCCTATTATCGGTAATATACCTAGGCTCCTGCCTGAAGATGTTGGTGATCGACTGCCACTAGACACGGAAGCCCATTAAGCGAAAGCTTCTTCTATTCTGTCCACAACTATTTGAACCATTTCAGTTTCAGTTTGGAAAGGACAGGAGACTTGATGGCCCGTGTTAGTCCTGGCAATGATGGTCTCTCAGCTGATCCAACTTTCTTTTGAAGGAGTCGACGGATGGAGCCTCAACCACGTGCTGAGGTAATGAATTCCAATCGTTGATTATTCGATGGGAAAGTCGGTAGTCAGCTGACAAGTAATTCGTTCTGGGCTTGTGAACTTTTTTGGAGTGTCCTCGTAGATTTTCTGTTTTGGAAGACAAGAAAAATGAGGGCATATCATGTGCAAATTTGTCATTAAGCAATTTGAAAACTATAATCAAGTCACCTCTGATTCTTCTATATGACAGCGGGAATAGGTTTAGCTTGGTCAGTCTAGTACCATACGGGAGCTTCGCTATTCCGGGAATCAACCTAGTTGCTGTTCTCTGAACCCTTTCCAAGAGTTCACTGTTTTTTTTTAGGCAGAGGTTAGCTGCTTGTATACAGTACTCAAGTTTAGGGCGTACGAACACTGTATACAAAGTCAAAAACGTTTTAGCGTTAAGATGCCCAAAAGCCCTGCGTATGGACCATAAAGTCCTAAAACCTTTGGCGGCTATTGCACGGCAGTGTGCAGTAGTCTTTAAGTCTTGACTGACGATGACGCCTAAGTCGTTGTGTGCCTGAACAATAGGTAACTCAGTGTTATTCATCGTGTATGTATCTGTGCCCTGATGGCCAATATGCATCACAATACACTTGGAAGTGTTTATCGGCAATTGCCAGGTTTGGGACCATTCAGATAATCTCTCCAGGTCATTTTGAAGTTCTAAGCTATCGCCCTTGCTTTGTATCGCTCTCCATATCTTGACATCAGCATAGAGTAAGACCGATGACAACAGTAGACGAGGGAGATCATTTACGTACAGGAGGAATAACACTGGCCCCAAAACTGTACCCTGGGGGACTCCACTAAGCACAGTTTCCCAGCTAGACAACTTGGAGTTCACCCTTACTCTTTGTTGACGCTCAACTAGGAAGTCTTTTATCCACATCAATAGATTGCCTCCAATCCCGACATTCCTTAGCTTATATAACAGCCGGTTATGCGGAACTTTGTCGAAAGCTTTGCTGAAATCGATGTAAGCTACGTCTATAGGTAATTTTTGGTCTTTAAGAGCGCACCAGCTTTCACGAGCGACTAATAAGTTTGTGAGACAAGAGTAACCTGTTCTAAAACCATGCTGTTTTTCGGAGAGGATCCGGTTTTCATCGAGATACTTTAACAGTTCCTTCCGAATAATCTTTTCTAAGATTTTAACAACCACACTAGTTAGGCTAATTGGTCGGTAATTCTCAGGCTTATGTTTTGTACCTGTTTTGAAGACTGGACTTACTATGGCGTTCTTCCATTCTTTTGGTAGACGACCCTGGGTTACGGATAGATTAAAACATACACTTAAATGGTTCGCAACAAAGTTAGATAATTCCTTTAATAACCTAGGATGCAGTTCATCGGGTCCAGTGGATTTACCTATGTCAAGCTTGACTAGCAGACCAAAGACATCGAGTTCTTTAATGGTTACGCTGTCCAGTGCTTGTGTGGGTGGATTTTCATGGACTGGTGAGAAGGGTGTTTCTATGGTGTATACATCGCTAAAGTATTTAGAGAATACTTGAGCTTTGCCAAAGTCGTCCTCCACAATTGATGTGGCAGTACTGTCTCCCCATAGTGAAGGAACATTTCTTCTTCTTTTTGTCCTTTGGTTTATATACGAATACAAGCGTTTAGGGCATTCTATGAATTCCCTAACGATTTTCACTTCGAAAAGCTTTCTGGCCTTACGGAGGGTCGAGGCACAGGTATTTCGAGCCTTTTGATACTGAGATTTTGCCTCGTCAGTCCCCAGTAACCTAAATCTGTCCCACATTTTCCTTCTTTTACGGAGAAGGATGCGAACCTCTCTATTGAACCACGGTGGGGAGTTTCTCGGTCTCTTAGGTGTAGTCCAAGGGATGTGGGGGTGGTAACTTTTAAGTATAAATTCCGGAATACGTCCCAAGCCGTTTCGATTGATGACTCTGGGTCTCATTTCCAATCTACTAATGATGCTGATTTCATGATGTCTGCTATGTTTGCTTTCCAGACGTTAGGTCTGGATTGAGCTGAAGCGTACTCGTGATCGACAGTTATATGGAAGTCAAAGCTTAAAACTGCATGATCACTTTTGCCTAGGAGTGGCATGTAATCCAGGTTTGCAACATCATCCTCGTAATGAGTCAATATAAGATCTAGTAAGGATGATGCAGAACCCGGGTCGTACCTAGTTGCTTCCTTCACGTGTTGCACTAGGGCACATGTAATTACCGTATCAACTAGTTCCTGTTCGAAGGAGTTTGCTGACGATTCAGTACGCAGATTTCCCCAGTCCACCATGGGTGCATTAAAGTCCCCTAGGATTAGACATCGATCACTTCGTGATAAAGTGTTGAGACTGCTTAGCAGGACCTCGTTTGCCTCACAGCTTGGACTGCGATAGATCAAACTAAGTAGCAACTCTTGTCCCCTGCATTTCAGGCGGCAGCAAATTAATTCATACGTCCCACTCTCATGGGATACACTGTCGATAATGGTGAATGGAATAGCATTCCTAATGAATAGAGCTACTCCCTCTCCTTTACGCGTTTGTATTCTATCGGCCCTTACCAATGTAAAACCTTCGAAATCAAGTTCCCTACTATCTATAGACGGCGTCAGCCATGTTTCTGTGACTGCCATTATGTCTGGCCTAGTTGAGTCAATCTGTACACCTAGTTCCGGTAGCTTATTTAGTAAGCTCCGGGCGTTGGTATAACAGATCCGAAGCCTATTTAGGTGGCCTCGTACTTCACCCAGAGTGGCTTCGGCATCATCCTCTGTCGAATTTTCAGGTCTTTTTCGCCAGCGTCTAATCTGAGCTGTAGTTCCTTTTCGGCTTCCCCTCTTTTAACACGGTCCGCCAACGGTAAGTCCTTACGGAGAAAAACTCCTGAACCCTTTAATTTGCGTCCATTTTCTAAGATTAAGTCGCGTTCGTTTGAGGATTTGAAAACGACTTTGAGTAGTCTAGACTGATTTGGTTTCAGATGCGCTAGATTTCCTAGTCTACACACCTTTAGCAAGGTGACTCCGGGGATGTTTTTGGGCATAACTTGGTTGAGTAGTTGTTTTATCAACACAATGTCATGCTCAAAACGAGCTTTTGGTTCTAAGTTGTCACTCTCCTTGACTCTATAGAGAATGACTGATCTGTCGCTGTGATCAGACCTCGGCTTGTCGACCCTTTTAGTGGGGGTATGATTTCCTTTTACGTCATTTTGGCGTTTTTTTCTTACGACCCGTACCCAATCGCCAACGTTCTTTGGAGTGGTAACCACATTCGCGTCAGGCGTACTGTGGGATTCCGGAAGAGTCAGGAGGACTTGGGAGATTGGGTCATCTTTCGCGCTGGAAACCGATCGAGCCTTGCGGTTTCGGCTTCCGGAAGTTCCCTTCTGGGTACCATTTTTGATACGAGGGACAGAAGAGACTTTTTTTGCGCCAGTTTCTGGTTGTAACAGTCCTCTTTGGAGGATGTTCTTCCTCCTTAGTAGAGTGTGGGTCGGCAGTTTTTGGACTCACTTGGGCCTGCTTTGTGTCAATCTGCGTGTCGACAGATTGAGTTCTGACTGATGTATCCCGACCGCGTTTGCCGAGACACTTTTTTGCGGCATTTACCATTGAAATGGCCTCGGTTAACAGGCTATTTGCATCCAAACAGCACTGTTGACATAGCCATACACACCCATTTTTACTGAACCTCTTGAAAGCTGCAGGTGTTAGATTCGTGGAAACATCGTGGTACCAACCTTTGCACTCATCAACAGGATATCGACATCCTGGGCGGTGGCAAATGCTTTTGTTGCATCTTCCAGTCATTTTAGGATGCGAAAGTGAGTGTTGACCACAAGTAGAAAAAAACTATAAACAGTTAGGACCAAAGTACTAACAGACACAATGGAAAAAAAAGGTACTCTGGAGTACCGACGATAAAACTATTTAGGATACCAAAGATGATACTCTAATAGAATACTTCAACTGAAAGAAATTCAATCAAAGTATAAAAACAGTAGTCTTGATACGTTAATAACGATCAAAACAATAGAATTTACTCGACGAGGAAAAATACCACTGTCCTTTTTAAATAGCGCGCTTTGATGATGTATATTTTCCTAGTTGACAGGTTGTTGTGGAGGATAAGTAGCGCGTTGAACTCAGTGATGTTCTTGCGTGGATGTTTGACCGAAAACTTTCAGCTACGGTGTGTCCAGTGAAACTAGAGGAATTAGTGTCGATATAGAGGACCTTCAGAATTACTGGTTTTGAGGATTTATCTGCCACTACGGCCCTTACGTGGTGCCATCAGCGAGATGCTACTACCAGACACGAATAGGAGTGAAGGAAGCTTCCTCCTTATTATTTACAACCGTCGGAATGACTTTCACTCTCAAAAACGATGTCGGAACTTAATATTTAGTTCACCTTTCATACCACAAAAAATTTAAATCTGATTTCCACTAAAAAGAAGGCCACAAGCGGAGTTTTTGATACTCGGATTTATATAATCCAGTTAATTTTAGTCGGATGAAGATACGCGATTAGGAAGCAATTTTTATTAACTGTTCTCTGTTTTAACCTGCCAGTCAAGTAGGATAATTTCCCCCGCATTATGTAAACGTCTGAGGTTTTTGATTATGGGCGCACAACACACAAAGGAGCGTCCGCGTCGCACATATCACCCAAAAGTTGACCATGAATTGCAAATAAACACATGTAGGTTATTTGTCTTTTATATGTTACAGTTAAAGTGATTATTTTATTCGTCATTTCACGATGACAAGCTTTCTCACGTTCTTATTAATAAACTTTTCCCATATATTCAAGGGATGAGATGCTGTTTCAGTAATCTTTACCAGCCCAAAAATGTTAAAGCAATGTTCTGTGAGGGAGACAAATTCAGGTTTAACCGGCATTTGTACGATTGCAAAATACGGTTAAAGCCACTAAGTCCGACCAAGTTCAGGGATCTTGTAACTGGGCTCTAGATTTAAATGACTAATTTATAAAGCCTAGCGAGTTAGTATCTTGAGTCCTTTTCATTAAGTTGGACGCTCGGATGACTTGTCTCTAAGCTGCTCACATGACGTCAGTAACTTTGTATCTCGTCCTACGAATATAACGTGAGTAGGAGTTTGCATAAAAGCAACACTATGAAACTCTCGCTGGTTGTACTGAATATGTTATTTCCGAAGGACTAAGGATTCGCTATCAAACTCTAATAATCCAGAACTTAAAATCTGTAAGGAATGGTATGACATCCCTAAATGTGGTCGATTTTATCCAATTGCTTTATACCAGTTTACCTATTAATTTTGAACGCCTTTGCATTTCATTCTTCAAAGTGTATCAGTTTGCATTTTTATATGGTTTCCTAGATGGATAGAGTTGGTTGTTTTCCATCCTTAAACTACATGTGTCTGAAAAACTGACGACTGGAAAGTGGAATTTCAGTTAGTAGAAGCTATTTTTCAATCTGAAGAGTTTTGAAAATTCAAAATTCTTAAAACGTTCTGAAGTAGTTCGAGAAAACAAACAGTACAATCTTGAATTGTCATTCGTTACGTAGGTGGGGTAGACTAAAAGTGGTATAAAACGGTCGGTAGCACACAAGAGTTAATAGGACTATCGAATACGTTTTATTTGACTGGAGCGGTTCGAGTTTTGTCGCAAGTGCATATTACTGCATCTGAATACAAACACCATATGCTAGTTACTTTTCAGTTTTAAATGCCACATCCAGTAGTTAGATACTTTAGATAACATGGATTAGAATAAGTTACAGCGGCACAAATACTTTTATATCTTACTCTAGATTTCGAGTCCCAGATTTCTTTCGTGCATACCTTTTCCTCCCATCTTTTTTTACTTTATTCTCATCGCGTATTCTTGTTATTTTTGTTGCTGAATTATTGCAGTCACTCCTCTTTTCATCATGTTGCTTTCGTCTCACTTTGCTAATGTGTTGCGTCGACTTGGATCAGTGAATATTTGTTCCAGACTACGCTGACGACAACTAACTGGTAGTTCTGTCGATATTTCTTAAACTGTAACTGTTTCTGAGACTAATGTATTATTTGTTTTATCCATGAATAACATTTACTTCACGCCACGAGGTATGAGATTAGTGTCACGTCTGTCACACAAGTACAACTAGGAGTGGCTCAATTATGGATTGAAAATAACCGCAGTTTATTGCATTAATTCATATGGGGTGATGCAACCCTTTGTTGAAAGTTTTTCTAATATTGACTCTAATAACTAGTTGTGACTTTAAGATTAAACGATTTACAGAGTAGTAATTAACTACTTGTTCGTAATCCGTGTCGTAGTCCACTATCTTACAATCGGCTTGATCAAGTATTTGCTCGCCTTCATTGTCGTTTAACTTCCATCAAACACTAGGTCTCTGAAAGATATGTTGAACTATGCAAACTCTAAACAAGTTAATTTTGTAATATTAGATCTGAGAATTTCTTATTTTGTGTATGGTTTTTCCTAGCTACGTCTTGGATCCAAAATCACAACCCTCCAACGAACTTCAAAGGTTCTGTAGCGCACACATCGCAGATAAATCAACCCAGTGATCAACTATTAATAGCCTTGTTTGATTTCACTCCGCCAAATACACTAGAAAATCAGTCACAAGTTAGAGTAGAGAAAGGTAAAGTTTATCTTAACTTTATGTGTCCACGTTGTTTACCATAGTTAAGCCTGGTAAAAAGTTGTTTTTTTAGTACCGAGTAGTCACTATTAATATTTTATCATCAGAAACCTTGAAAAGTAAGAAACCATTAATTGTATTACACAAAATGAAGAAGTAGGTTTGCGAACAAATGATAGCATATATAAATGTAGTTGGTTTCAATGGTAAGTCATACTGTTTATGTAGGCCTTGGCATAAAATTGAGACAGGATCACCACTAAGATGTGTGATGCTTGGAATTTCAAGACAATGAAGTCGATGTTTTGAGATGATGATGGGTCGAATCATCATCACCATACTCAAAAATGCACTGCATAACTTAGCGTTTTAAGAAAATGTGAACAGTCCTTCGGAGACATTAGTGATCAAATACAAAGGTTTCTCTAGTGTCCTTAACTCAGAGATCAGTTTGCTCAAGTCCAAAACAATGGCTCACGCCGATGAGTTATATGTTAACTCTTTAGTGTCTGTGCTTACGACGTAATATCACCGGGTCAAACCGAATCAGCGTACACCATTCGCACCATACGAAAGTTGATGTTGTCTACCACAACCATCAGCCCCCAAATGCCCTGGTACGGCCGAGAGTGGGGAGAGTCACCTCTCCCTCTCGAAATGCTTTCATATGGCCAGTGAATATATAGCCTCTGCCAGAGAAGTCCTACTCACTGCCTTCTCGTGGCGGGGGTGTTGTTTACGAAAGTGAGAGGACGAAAAGCGAATGTCCGGCGCTTTAACCGGGTTGGTGGACATGGAAAGTTCACCTAGGGGAGTTGGAAAACCCTGATTCCAAACCAATGGTGCACATGGGCTCCAGTATCCTGAGGGAACAAATGGCGTACGAATCAACCGTTGATCACCGGCTACCATGGGACTGCATCTCCTCACGAAGCTCCACTGCCTTGTGGATCAGACATTCAGATCAAAGGCTCCGGATGTGGGCCCCTAAGAAAACCACTTACTTCAGTCTGGGCACCCGGGAAGTATCACAGCCCTCACACAAATCTCATTCGATTTGTGTGGCGCATATTTATCTGATGCTTCCTTGTACCAATATTTATGTGTTTAAATAAATATAAATGCTTCCTCAGTCGTTCATATACATAAACTCGACTGTTTCCTACGACTAATAATTGAGGATGAGTGCAGAAAGTTCCTTCCAGTTTTGTCGAATTACTTAGCACTTCAGTGTTACATGTGCTTATCATACTTAAGAGTTTTAGTTGACAACGTGTTCAAGATGAATGGATCAACTTTTATGTCATCGCCTAGTAAAGCGATATCTTTGAGGTACTCAAAGGCGTAAAGTCTGAATAATAAATCCACAACATCTGAGACTTATTACAGCTGTTACTAAAGTGCAGTCAAGCTTTAGGTGAGGTGACGGATTAGTGGCATCAGTATGCCTCGGGTTCGGATCTCTCCATCTACCTCGGTAGCGTCACTCGATCACATAGTATCTTCTTCAACCGATTACACGAACTTGCATTTGAATTTAACTCATCTACCAAGTACATATTTATTTACTCGGTTTATAGCCATACCTTGACTTACTACTTGATTGTCCAAATAAAAGTATATGGCAATGGATTCAAACCAGTGACTTGCACTTAGTACGTGAGTAACATTGAGTCCGAAGAAGCATGATATGGTTGGTCTTTTCTTTCTTACTCTACTGTTGGTGTAAAATAGCAAAAGAAAGGGTATAGTCGCTGTCTATTTGTTGTGTTTTCGAGTTTCCCCCGTGACACTGTTCTCACTGTAAATGCCAGAGTGCATCCCTACTGGACGTAATAATGACTGGTTTAATGTCAAGAAAGTACTACTGTTGACCCACAGTTCGTGTGACCGTGTGCGAATATCTACGTTTTCAATGGATTTACGACCGGAATAAAACTTAGCAGTGTGAGGTCAGTATTTTAAAATAAACTGACAGCAGAGTATTACCTTACTTTACAATTATGCTGTCCTTTAGTAGTCCAAGGTCTGACTCCATTTAGATCGTGTGAATGACTGTTGTTGAAATATACATATCGTCAATCCACATATATAATCATTGACCTAAATCGTGTTGGTGAATAACGGAATTAAATAAGTCAAACACGAAAATGGATTTCGAATACGTATATTTCATACAATCGTTGATCCAGACAAACGATCGAATGAATTAAGCGAAGAGAAGGGGGATAAGCGAAATGGTGCTCAATGGAGAACGCATGTGAGCCAACTCGATTTAATCAAGAGTTAGTCGATATTTATGGTCTGATAAAAATAAGTTACAGACATGTGATGAATAATATAGGAAATGCGTATACATACGCTTACATAAAAACAGTCAAGGTTGATAAGCGAATAATTAACAAGGTCAAAATGTAACTCAAGAAAAATGAATAAATTGGCTTGTCTAGAAGCTAGATAAGCTATGTGGACTTAACATAGCAACCGACACTACAGCCCAACATACCAACATAAGTTGTTTCTTGTATCTGTCTCTTAACGTTTTTGCTGAATCTTATCTTATCTTGTGTCAGTGTAGTTAATTTCTCGTGCTTGGAAATTCTAGCACAGTCGTTTTAGTCCCTGAGATACTTTAATATTTAAACATAATTTAGGTTTCAATTACCGTTTAGATGTGTTTAGTGCCTCTCGTACCTTCATACTTAGTACCTACATTGTTTTCTCTACTTTAATTTAGGTGATCGTCTGCAGCTGTTTGGTTACAGTGCAGACGGTGATTGGTCAGACGTTGAATGTATACGAACTAATGAACGTGGTTGGATACCAACAAACTATACAGGTCGCATTCCTTTTCCTCCTAATGATCACAGCACAACTTTGAATACTGGATCAGCTTCCGGCAGTTCACTTACTTTCCAACATACTAGCAGTCACGATGTTAGTTGTAATGGTAGTCAAGGAAGTTTGGCTAGAGTAGGACTAGAGTCAGAAAAGTGGTATCATGGTGCTATTCAGAGGAGTTATGCAGAATATTTACTCAATAGTGGAATCACGGGAAGTTTTCTCATCAGAGAATCAGAAAGTCATCCTGGTCAGCTCACAATAAGTCTTCGTTATGAAGGACAGATATGGCATTATCGTATCCATCGTGATGATTCCAACATGGTAAGCTTCTTACATACATATGTATATATATATATCCTTGAAACGTAAATGCTGATACTGATAAAAAATAGTCATTATAGGTAACAAAACTTATTGCTTGGGATTCTCGGATGTTTGAAGTGGAAAATCCCAGTTAAATACATTATTTACAATGTTATGAAAACTGTGATACAAGAATATCCAGTTGACATCTCTCAAACAGGACTAAATATGTGTTTACTATTTTACTGTTAGCTGCCACCAGAGTACTCCAGTTAACGTGGCTAACTGAATTAACATTCTCGTCCAATGTTCGGAGTTTTTGTTTTATGCAAATAAAATTAAAACATTTTTATCTATGCCTTTCTTACACAAATGATTCGTGCTTGTTAGTCGTATAGGCCTCTGTTCTAGGGACTTCATGGATAATATGATAAACCAACAATCAAAGCCAATTATCAACAGATTTTCAGTACCTTTCTTGGTACTCTTCTAGAAATAAATTATTCTGATTTTCTAGCGTTAGATTTAAAGTGCAAGTTTCATATGCTCTTCTTTAAGCCACATGATATGAGGAGTAGTGATTGTACTGATCTGCTTAAACCTAATTAAATGGAGCGGGCTTCGAAATAGTATCTGTTGGTTGAAAGCTGAATAGCTTGAATACCAAACTTTGTTGTAAATATTTCACACCGTATGAACTAAGTTGCTACTCTTTACAAACGCTTCATTGATTCTCAGCTCATTAGTAGCCTGTGAATTAGTCATTTCGAATCAATTTTTTTGATAAGCACAGTTTCCGACCTTTATCATCATTCCTTCATTTTCCACTTAGTATTACGTTATTGAATCCAACAAGTTTACATCAGTCTCTGACCTTGTACATCATCATGAGAAGCATTCAGATGGTCTGGCCTGTACATTATTATATCCAGCACCTAAACGAGACAGAACAAGTTCAGAGTTACGCATGGATCCCAGTTTCGATATACGTGAGATAGATCGAACCGAAATAGTTATGAAACATAAATTAGGTAAGTCCATGTTTCGTCACAAATAATCTTTGATAGTTCATCATGAAACAGAAAGATAATTTAATCTATGTTTATTTACTTATTTCCTGAGACATTAACTTTTCTTATTATCTTTCATGCAGTTTTGTGAAGTGAAAATGTCTTCAGTCATTAGTGTATAACATACCTAAACTTATGTTTGATGTCTAATCTCTGTGTATATAATCACGCTCCCAGCTATTTTCCTCTGGTACATTTCCATTGATGGTGAGTTTATTCTTACGAATACTGGATTACTTCACTATTGTACATCGTATTTCTTTACCAAATTATTATTACTTCCTTCTTATTTGAAATAGGGAAGTCTCTTAGAGCATCTGTAAAGTAATCCATTAATGTTTATGTAAGGTACATAACAATGAATAAGCCAATGTTTTAGCAACTGACGACAGACTAAAGCCTTGTGTTTAAAGCATCTAATGCGGTATACAGCTCAATAACTTCACCGTATTCTGTAATAATTTTCGTTTTTACTTTGTTCATTGTTAAATGTTGAATATAAAATGCAACACACTAATTTATCGCGTGATGCGATACGATACTCAAAGATTTAGGCCTAACAGTCACTGCTTAATTGATTGGAGAATGAGTGACCTACAAGCTAATCTCTTCCAATCGCTTATGGTATTTTATGTTTATTTTGCGTTCGTTTTCTGTATGTAAGGATCCTATTACGTATAAAAGTATTCGTCTGGCTAGTGGTCTTGTCTTTGTTTTCTAATCATTCGGAGGCTCAAGTCAATTATACGGTCTCGTGAATAGTCATCACTCGGTGACATATTGTTGCGTTCATCCGTCGATTAGCATTTTATTCATTGATTGTAACTGTCCAAATTTCGTCTTGACAAACTCACAGAAAACCTCCATAATATCATATTACCCTTAAATTTTTGAGAAGAAAGAAAGATTCTGGTCAGGCACTTTTTTACTCTATAGAAATCTGTTTCACTGTAAATTTCAATATCACTACACCCCTAGCATTATTATTCCCACTTTTGAACTAAATTAAAAGTGTTTGCTTTAAAATTTAATGTGAACATCGATGAGTCGTCCTTTATTTGATCATTGAAGTTTGTGTTCGTCAAAAGTTAAGTTGATTCACTCACTCGCTGCTGTAGAGTTCGGAAGCAAATTAAACAAAAAACTGAAACGCTAAATAGTTACCCAAAAGTGATTATATTGCTTAAGGTGCATCTATTTATTATTTTTTTCGTACACCTTTTCATTTCTTATCATAGTTCTAAACTATCCTTCACCTACATACCAATAAAACTCTGTTTTTCTTCCTGTAAGTTAACAAGAGAAAGTCGATTGATGCTCCTGAAGTAAATCTGAAAATACATCAATCAATGTTAACTAATACATTCATTAATAATTAATTTAATAGTTGGTTGTTTTACAACTATAAGTATGGTCCAGTTAATGTTCATTTAAGTAATATCTCATGGAAAATTTCTAATTAATGACAAAAGTATTTCTAATCAGCATTATTTACACGATTTCAGCCACTTCGACTTTACTGATAAGATTTGATTATATACTGTTCATATATAGGTTCTATACTTCTGTCAAACCCAAAAATCTTATCCTGTGGTGTTGTGCTAAGAGTTATTTGTTCGTGACTGATGAATTTCTATCATTTGGAGAGTAAGATTTGTTCGCAAAACCTTAATATAGATTGACATATAATCAGTAACTATTAAGAATATTCAACATAGTCAACTTTTATTTGAACTATATTCAGAAACATAGACTTATTCAGTATAATCACTTAAAAAGTTTATTTTAATATTAAGATTAAAATACAAATATAAATGCTAACCTTTTCTTGCATTTGATGGATAGCAACATTATTATATTTAACGTGTGCAATTTCGGTAGGACTAGCATTTAACATTCGTGCTTAATTACTTTACATGACTAGTAATTTTAATAATGTTTAATGCGATTGATGCATTTCCAACTATTTGTTCTTTTGACCTACTGATTACAGGTGGTTCTCTTGAAATTATATCGTTTCGATATTTTAGCTATTAAATAGAGTAGTCTGTAAGAAAGTTTGGTTATTGAGTCACTACTCACACACTAAAATAATGCGCAAATATCTCTGTCTAAATAATGAGCACTAAGACGGCTGTAGTCTAAACTTGAAAAGAAACAATACGGTTGAGCTTTTCTAAATGTTTTCATTTAACCAATGTGCATCTTTCTCTATTTATCAAATCATCTAACCTTAACTATATTTATATTCATGTATCCTAAGGATTCCTCAATTTATATGTATATTTTATCATCTTTAGGATAGTGAACTCTATTAATTTGCCCATATTATTGGTAAATGTGCCAGAATATTTTTCACTCAGATATGATTTTTCTTACACTTGAATGTTTTTATCAGAAATCAAGAGTAACTAATATTCTTGGATTTTATACTATTCATAATCTCACTAACTACACCATCGATCTGTTGGAATAGATTAAACTTCAGAGTTGCTACTATGTAGCAGAATAACTAATCAATAGTCGAGGCATCTTGTACATTTATTAAAGTAATTACACATTTTATTAGATAAGTATTTTACAGTTTCCTTTCTTAACATTGACCTCTTCTGTTTTTTTCTCTCTCGATAGATTCTCTTAATAATTAATTTATTCGATTCATAAATTTCCCTATTCATGCGTTTTATGACCGCTTCCGCCATTGATTTTTTAAGGTCATTCTTCCATTTTTATTACTATGGTGTTCTGTTCCTCATCTTTCATCTGCAATAATTATTTTATCACTGAGCCATTGTGCACGTGTGTGATTTGGTTATGTTGATGTATAATTTTTTGTAAAATGTAATAATCATAAGCAGAGTGATCCTATATAAAGTGTTGGTCATATGTTAATGGTACTGTGTAGTAAAATTTCAACATTGATTATTCTGTCGTCACCTACGCCTATTCGGCCTCAGTTTACGTATACTAATAGTGTTTCTTCATTTATTTGTCTGACTGTTCGACACTTCACTCCTGTCTATTCTATTTATTTTGATGCATGTTGATTTATGGTATCACTAGTGTCCGCATAAATGAATCGTATCGTGTACTGTTAATTACGAATTTAAGGCATCTACTTTCGTTAATACATTTAAAGTCTTTGTTATTATAAGGTTATGGGGAGATTGTTAAATTATAGGCCTCACATTACAGACTGACTTTAGTTAGACAACCAGTGGGAATCAAACAGCATTGGACAGTTGATTTCTCCAAGTATGAAACTTGGTAAAGAGCATCAACGACTCTACTAAATATCGAAATATGTTGTTGAGTGGTAATCTTTGTCGGATTGTGTTTTCTACTCGTTTTTTGTAGCGTTTTACTTCATTTATATACTCAGTTGAATTGTTGAGTAAATATTCAGAGAATAATGGAGATATACTCATGTATATCGATTTCTCTGTTTAACAGTGCAACCAATTCCTGGATTAATTTAACCGAAGTTCCAAAAAGGTGTAATCAAAAATAAAGTAGATATATAAAATGAAAGAAATTAACTTGATAGAAGACATTAAATTACCTAAATTTTCATCCGAGAAAAGAGATATATACATTTGTACTTTCGTATTTGTATTTTGAGTGATATATAAAAATTTATTTATTTATTTAAACACATAAATAGTGGTACAAAGGGGCACCAGATACATATGCGCCACACAAACCTCATTTGATTTATGTGAGGGCTGTGATACTTCCCGAGTGCCCAAACCGAAGCAGGTGGTTTTCTTAGGGGCCGACATCCGGAGCCTTTGACCGAAAGATCTGATCCACAAGGCAGTGGAGCATCGTGAGGAGATGTAGTCCCATGATAGGCGGTGACCAACGATTGGTTCATATGCCATTTGTTCCCTCAGGATACTGGAGCCCATGTGCACCATTGGTTTGGAATCAGGGATTTACAACTCCCCTAGGTGAACTTTCCGTGTCAACCAACCCGGTTAAAGCGCCAGATATTCGCTTATTGTCCCCTCATTTTTGTAAACAACACCCTCGCTGAGAAAAGGCAGTGAGTAGGACTTTCCTGGCAGAGGCTGTGTACGCGTGGCTGTGTGAGAACATTTCGAAAGGGAGAGCGGACTCTCCCCACTCTTGGTCGTACCAGGGCATTTGGGGGGACCAAGGCATTTAAATCTTGTTTGCAGTGTTTTTTATTGTATTCATAGCTTAAGCAAAATATTGTTTAATCTCGTTAATAAGTTTCACTTTAAGAGTGTATTCAGAAACAATTTTTATTGATACTATGAGCTTTGCAATAGCGCTATCTTAAATTCTTACTTGAATGATTACTTAGTTGTCCATGGCCATAGAAATATGTTAGTATATAATATGCTCAGAGGATTAAGTTGTAGTAATGATATAACATTATGCAGTTTTTTCTATGAGTGCTATTGTGATGTATGATACTTTTGTCGACAGATATAAATAGTATTTGGCAGCGGTCAGAAGTGGAATACTTGCCAGCAGAAGATTGAGTTGACTGAATTGAAGAGAACAGGAACGGAAACAGAACAATTGTAGTAACAACAGAATTGAGAGAATCATGAAGCATGTAAAGGACAACTGAAGGAATATGTGCAAATAATATATTTAATGTATGATTTTCATATTTTACGAAAACACTGTAATTTTGCATTGATCAACCAATTAGTTTTCCCCACCTTAGTATCGTTCACTGCACTATACTCATAACGAGGATTATGGTCCATACCAAAAGTGTTCTTAGATGTTAGTTACTCTAACAAGCTTTTTTTTAAAATAATGACCGTGGTGAACATCACTTTAATTATAAGCGAATTTGTTGTGCTATTTTTAAGTCATCAGATCAGTTAATAGTTGTGTGACTCAATAATCATTTACTGGTTTATGTATTTGTCTGTTAATCATATTTGTGTGAAGGCTGTTAACGATTCCACTCAGCTACTATAGTCCTAACTGGTTGAATTTCGAACATCCAAACCAGTAAGCCGCAACTTTTTACTGAACTTCGATAATACTTAAATGATTTGCTTGTTGATCATAACTGGTTTCATATGAATTTAAAATTATTGATTTCAAAAGTTATGTTTTTTTAGGAATCTAGTCTTCCTTACAATAACATCATATACGTGAAATCGTATATTCTCTAAGTGCCATGTACCAGTGTAAACTCGCTTTCTAGTTTTCCAGTGATTCTTACTTTGTTTATACTTGTCATCTCTACCAGCCTTTTATGACAAAAGCTTAAAACCAACCGATCGAGAATATCCTGTTTAATTAGAATTCTGTATGATGTAAACATCTAATGTTTTCATTTTAGGTTACTTACCTCTATTATTTTACGGACTTTTTAATTTCAGGATCAGGACAGTATGGTGTAGTATATGAGGCTGTATGGAAACCTTATAATGTATTAGTTGCTGTGAAAACACTCAAGGTATGAGTTTACCCATTACAATAACATTTTAACTAAATATTGTTTAATAGTTGAGATCATGAGTCAATTAAAGCTAGACCACTATGGAAAACCCGGAAGTGCTGGACGGCCGTTTCGTCCTGTTGTGGGTTTCCCCGGCAGTGTGCATCCACGACTCATGACTCATGATCTCAACTATTAAAATTACTACAATATCCACAAAAACCTCTTCTGATATTAAATATTTTTCAATTTAATTTTCATTTGGGTAATCCTTTAACTGGTACATATTCTACTCGAGTTGAGTGAATAATGTTGTTTAGATATAAGTTTATCTGTATTAAATTCTCTAATAATGTTTTCAACTAATTCATAGCCTTAAGTTTATAAAAGCCGGTGAGTTCTGCTTTGAGCTACTAGTTGGTAGAGATTTTGGTATCATCTAGTACGTTGTCGACCGTAGCTGCTAACTTGACGCGGTGGTCGGGCTTGCCTATCGTGATGACCCAACCGAGTTATATTGGCTAGGACATATATTCCTGTAGGTTCTACCATTCCAAGCAGATCGATTGGAAAACGGTACGACTAAAAGCAGCAACTCGAGGCCTGAGGGCGAAGTCGTACTGGTGACTGTAGATGGGTGTGACAGCAGTAAGGTGTTTCTCTCGGACAACCAGCATCTGCAGTGATGCTGTCTTCTCACAGCACACGAGACCAAATTGGTCACATTCAAATCATCCCTACACCTCCTAATAACTCTTATTACCACGACTAACCCTTCTCACGCCCCTATATCACCTCGCACCGCTAGGGCAAACGATTCAAGTACGCGGAACGTCATTCCTAGTCTCCTGAAACCACGCTATAAAGTACATGTTGGAGCTTTTAATGTCCGAACACTGTGCCAAATAGGACAACAGGTTTCTTTAGCTAGGACTCTAGAATCTTACACCATCGATGTGTGTTGCGTCTCCGAAACGCGCATACAAGATCCGAGTAGTGTCATTCATTTGACATCACCTAATCAAAATAAAGAACCAACTGGATACACGCTTCGTGTATCTGGAAGCCCTGATGCTGCTTCCCGTGGCCTCACTAGAGTAGGTATAGCATAAAGTAGTAGGGCAGAACTAGCTCTTTTAGACTGGATCCCAGTAGACAGTCGTCTATGCGCTGTCCGACTAAACGGATCAGTAAGGACTCGGAAAGATAGGGGAACCCGTCGTTGCCTCTTCGTCGTCTCTGTCTGCTCTCCCACTGACTGCAGCTCAGATGATATAACAGATGGGTTTTACAGAAAATTTTCCGACCTTCTCTGGAAAGCTCGGCGTTCTGATGTAGAGATAGTAGATGGTGACTTTGATGCTCAAGTAGGTAAACTAAGCGAAAGGGAAAGACACTTGGGTAGATCTTATGGTGTTGTGGCTCAAAGAACAGATATTGGCGACCGTCTGTTGAAGCTATGCTCAGATAACGGCCTGTTTTTGCAAATACTAACTTTAAGCACAAGGGAAAACATCTTTTGACATAGCGACCCACGAATTCGTCCCAACCTTGGACCCCATTATATCACATCGCTATCAGCCACCGATGGAGGGGCTCGATAGATGACTGTCGCTCATTCTGGAGCATATGCTTGGATTCAGATCATGCTCTAGTGCGAGCACGTATCTGTCTGTGTCTTACTGGACGTACGAAAGACACTGCAGGGAAGCCTCTAAGGGTTCTACTTAATGATAAACAAGCTAAGAATATATTTCAGGAACAACTGGAAAAACAGTTAAACAGACATGTAAGTTGTGCACACCCCGAGGCGGCGTGGAATGACATCCGAAAATCTGTGGAAACGGCAGTGATATCCGCTAGTAAAGTAAACCATAAGGTTAGGGAGAAACAATGGATCTCGGCAGCATCTACCGCACTGATAGATGCTCGAAAACTCATCCCACCTGACTCTAAACATAACGAAGAGCGGAGTCAGCTTAAGCGCAGACTAATAAGAAGCCTACGCAATCATCTTGAACAGTGGTGGGTAGCGAGAGCAAGAGAGATGGAAAAGGTAGCGGCAACAGGTAACAGCAGACAGCTATTCAGATTTATCAAAGAAACCGGCATTAGGAACCCAACTATTAGCGAAACTATCTCAGACAAAGATGTGCATTTCATTCATTCTCAATCCAGGAGATTGGATCGATGGGCAGAATACTTTAGGGATCAGTTTAACTGGCCTTCAGCCACACTTCAGTTACCCACGATCCCCAGTCGTCCTGAATGGCAAATTGAGATAAGTCCGCCAACTCTCTACGAGGTTGAAAAAGCTATAGGAAATCTAAAGCGAGGGAGAGCAACAGGCCCTGATAGGCTTACTCCTGAGATTTTTAAGGGTGGTGGTCCAGTATTAGCAGCCCCCAAATGCCCTGGTACGGCCGAGAGTGGGGAGAGTCACCTCTCCCTCTCGAAATGCTTTCATATGGCCAGTGAATATATAGCCTCTGCCAGAGAAGTCCTACTCACTGCCTTCTCGTGGCGGGGGTGTTGTTTACGAAAGTGAGAGGACGAAAAGCGAATGTCCGGCGCTTTAACCGGGTTGGTGGACATGGAAAGTTCACCTAGGGGAGTTGGAAAACCCTGATTCCAAACCAATGGTGCACATGGGCTCCAGTATCCTGAGGGAACAAATGGCGTACGAATCAATCGTTGATCACCGGCTACCTTGGGAATGCATCTCCTCACGATGCTCCACTGCCTTGTGGATCAGACATTCAGGTCTGGTGCTTTCTTGTACCAATATTTATGTGTTTAAATAAATAAATACTCATAGCGATATTGACTGAGGTCTTAGGTAAAATCTGGGAACTGGACGTAATTCCACCTGACTGGTCCCAATCACTGATTGTGCCAGTTTATAAGAAAGGACAAAAGTCCTCCTGTGACAATCACAGAGGGATCAGTTTGACTGATATAGTGTCTAAAATATTAGCTTCAATAATACTTGGACGCTTAACCAAAGCTCGCGAAGAGCAGACTAGAGAGAACCAGGCTGGTTTCCGACCTGGACGTGGTTGCATAGACCAGATATTCACTCTACGTCAGGTCCTAGAACATAGACACACATTCAGACGTCCCAAAATCATGGTATTTTTCGACCTTAAGGCGGCATTTGACTCTGTTGATCATGAGGTTCCGTGGCAGTGTTTGTCAATGAAAGGAGTACCAAAGAAGTACATTAACCTCATAAAAGCTCTCTACTGGAATACAACTGGTCGAGTTGGAGCTTATGGCGAACTGTCATCAGAATTGATTACCTCAAGTGGTGTTCGTCAGGGCTGTCCACTCTCTCCATTCTTGTTTAACTTTGTCGTTGACATGCTTTTAGAGATAACACTTTCATCATCTAAATCTCCAGGAGTTGAACTTCTACCAAGAGGCTCACTTGTTGACTTAGAATACACCGATGACATAGTTCTATTTGATGAAGATGCTGACAAAATATAGAGCCTTCTGACCACTATAAGCAACAATGCAGGCATGTTAGGGATGCGATTCTCCCCCACGAAGTGCAAAATGTTACTTCAGAATTGGGTTACATTGACACCTGAACTAATGATAGGGAGTGAAGTAGTTGAGCGTGTTGACCGCTTCACTTATCTTGGGAGTCTCATCAGCCCTTGTGGTATGGTGTATGACGAAATCTCAGCACGGATACAGAAGGCTCGTCTAGCTTTTGCCAACTTGCGCCATTTATGGCGTAGGCAAGATATCCGTCTAGCAACAAAAGGACGGGTTTACTGTGCAGCAGTTCGTTCCGTCCTACTTTATGGCAATGAAACATGGCCCATAAGAGTAGAGGATATTCGTAGGCTACTAGTGTTCGATCATAGATGTCTTCGAAGCATTGCTCGTATATCCTGGGACCACCGGGTAAGTAATGCAGATGTTAGGAAACGGGTACTAGGTAATGATGGCAAATCGATTGATGAAGTAGTGAAACTTCATCAGTTGAGGTGGCTCGGACATGTGTTACGTATGCCCAACCACCGACTGCCCCGACGTGCAATGCTTTATAGTGTAGGAGCAGGTTGGAAGAAAACAAGGGGAGGCCAGACCAAAACATGGCATAAATCCATGAAGTCGCTGACAAGTGGACTGGGCCATATTGGTAGGTGTAGACTACCTGGTTGGGATTCGCGGGATGATAGCAACCGATGGTTAGAGACCTTGAATGACATGGCTCAAAATCGTTTGCAATGGCGAAGGTGCATCCACTCCTTGTGTTCTACCAAATTCTAACCTTTTGAATTCTTCATGTCCCTATCCTTTTTCTCTTTCGAAATTTATTTCACTGTATTATACTCCTTCAATAACATCTTCAAACCCTTATCATTCACATAATACTTATACTCTTACTACTTCTACCACTATGGGATTTGAATCGACAACTTCGTCTCTGTGCTAATGTGGTATGGCAACTCGAACTGATGTACGTACGTACGTACGAAGTTCTACGTTGTGACTGACTGACTTGTCATTATGGCGAATCTCAACAGTCAATGAGGTGAAGTGATTGTGTATCGTTATTTATATCTTTCATTTACACCTGAGTTCAGCCTGACCGATCCACTTGAAATGGTATGTACACAAAATAAGTTTAATCCGTGATTTTTTATATTACTGTTCATGGGACCGAAGTACAAAGACATGGTTGACTGGTGTTCTTCTTATAAAACAACTACACTGATTTCTTATTATTTTACTGAATTATTAACGAATCATTCTATTGATGCTTATAAGTGAAATTCTCAATAACCCTGTGCTTGCTTAAAATCAGTAAACACATGTTGCACACAACTACATATTTTAGATTTGTCTACTGTGATCGACTGTCTTACATAAATAACCTAATACCACAAGTTGTGTTACTTAATGGAGTTAGTGTTTTGGTTTATAAACATCTCTTACCCACTTCAGTCGATGAAGGCTTTAGTACTCATTTCGACATTTCTTTTACCCTGCAGTTGGTGGTACGTAAGAAAAATAAAAATAATGTTTTCTATCCTTCTAGAGATTTCACTAATCACAGCCTCACCATGACTGATGGAATCTCATATCTAAATGTGGTGCTTTGTTACACACAACTATTAATTCTTCCATTATATTACTGTTCTTTTACTAAGGATACTTAAGAAATCCTGTTTTTAGCTTTACTGTTTGAGTTTTTACTTGTGCTCGCCAAAATCCTTTAACTCTCATTCATCGCTTTCCTTATCTTCCAATATATTGTCCTTTTTCAATCCTATTTACAAGCCATATTACTTACAAGTAGTTGTACAGTAATATTTTCTTTTGGGAAACCGATAAAAGCTCTTTTGCATAAAATACCACTATACCTCTTATCGTAAGCGTGCGTCAAGAATGGTTGAAATGTTATTGTGAAATGGAGATATTGTAGTATGTTATTAGTTTGGACTCAACTGTCTGAAATTGGAATTATTCCAACATGTTGATTTTTTTCTAGGTAATATGACGAATATTTTTTGTGTGCCAATAGTTTTTCATTTCCCCCATTTTATTTATGAGTTGACGGTCGTTGAAATGTCCTGTTACAATTAGTTTGTTTTGATGACTTTACTCTAAATAAGTACATGATATATGTTTCCTAAAAATTAATTTTTCCAGGAAAATGTCACAGTTCGTGATGAATTTTTAGAAGAAGCTCGTTTGATGAAAAGTTTAAGACATCCAAATCTTGTGACTTTGTTAGGTAAGTACGCAGAATTTTTGGCTAGTTTTACAATCTTTTTTCTTAACTAGTGCCAAATAATCCGAAACATATAACCAAAACTTCATAGTTTACATCATAGAATTATTTTAGTTAATGACGGACAGTGAAAACTAGGAAGAACTATTTCACTATCAAAACTTTTGATCTTGAGGAAGTCATTTTTAACATTTTTTTTCAAATACATAGCACTAACTCTAAGGATGTTTTACTTATTATTTATTTGAACACATAAAAATCGGCACAAAGAAACACCAAATACATACGAGCCACACAAATCATTCGATTTGTGTGAGGTTTCGGATACTGCCTAGGTTCCCTAAACTCAGTTTGTGTTGACTTGACACCATTTGTAAGCTGTTTTTTCAGTAAGTGTAAGCTTAACACATTCTCCATGAATGTGTTGTCATTTATTACTGCCAGATGATGCATTATTTATTAGACGTTCATAATTCATTCTTTTCATTGATCATTACAGCTACAAGCTACTTGTGATTTTTCTTTTGAATTTTTTCTCTAAAGGTGCATGTACCCGGGAACCACCTTATTATATTGTTACAGAATTTATGTGTAATGGGAACTTGTTAGATTATTTACGTACACATCCTAGAACAGAATTAACACCTTCAGTTTTATTGCATATGGCAACTCAAGTAGCTAGAGGTATGGCTTATTTGGAACAACACAATTTTATACATCGGTAAGTTTTTTGTTGTTGTTGTTGTGTTTTATGTTCAATTCATGGTTTTTCATGCCACAGGTTTTTTTATTTTTAACTTAAAACTGATTTTACTCACTTCGTGTTGATACTATCTTGTTTAAAATTAAATAAAAGTGAGCCGATATATTACTAAATAATGACTATCACTCATAATCATGATTTAGTTTTTTGTTCATTCATCTGTGTGTTAACCTTTATGATTAGATCACGGTTGGAAACCTGAAAGTACTGGACTGTTTAAAATACTCCAATCTCCACAGATCCCCATACTGATGATAATCATGTGCTCATTAGTGACTAGCTTTAAGATGAATTTCCTGGAGTTCTAGTGAGAAGCTGTGACTAGTGGAGTCCGATCTGTTTTGGGTGTGAGATAGTTATCCATCTCAGGCAATGGATGAAAGATCGCTCAAGATCATGAATCGATCAAAGTTAGACATTGAGACTGCTGAATGCTATAATTTCAATTTAGTAATAGTTATTCACTTATTGTATTAATATTTATTTATAACCAGATCGTTTATGGTTTTCATTGATGAACTTATCATGTTTGATCTATACTAACTGTGATAATTTTAAAGTATACCTAGTTTATATTTATTTATCCGAAATATCGTTTGACTTTTAAAATAGTTATTATGAGTTAGTAATATAAATTATTATTTCAGATGTATAATATAATTTATGGTTATTAGTACATATATGCTACAGATTTGTATTATAACTTTGTTATTAATATGGAAGAGTTATTGAAGTTTTATGGAAAGCACATTATATATGACGTGACATTGTACTTTCTCCAAGTCAGTCAGTTACAACGTAGAACTTCGTACGTACGTACGTACATCAGTTCGAGTTGCCATACCACATTAGCACAGAGACGAAGTTGTCGATTCAAATCCCATAGTGGTAGAAGTAGTAAGAGTATAAGTATTATGTGAATGATAAGGGTTTGAAGATGTTATTGAAGGAGTATAATACAGTGAAATAAATTTCGAAAGAGAAAAAGGATAGGGACATGAAGAATTCAAAAGGTTAGAATTTGGTAGAACACAAGGAGTGGATGCACCTTCGCCATTGCAAACGATTTTGAGCCATGTCATTCAAAGTCTCTAACCATCGGTTGCTATCATCCCGCGAATCCCAACCAGGTAGTCTACACCTACCAATATGGCCCAGTCCACTTGTCAGCGACTTCATGGATTTATGCCATGTTTTGGTCTGGCCTCCCCTTGTTTTCTTCCAACCTGCTCCTACACTATAAAGCATTGCACGTCGGGGCAGTCGGTGGTTGGGCATGCGTAACACATGTCCGAGCCACCTCAACTGATGAAGTTTCACTACTTCATCAATCGATTTGCCATCATTACCTAGTACCCGTTTCCTAACATCTGCATTACTTACCCGGTGGTCCCAGGATATACGAGCAATGCTTCGAAGACATCTATGATCGAACACTAGTAGCCTACGAATATCCTCTACTCTTATGGGCCATGTTTCATTGCCATAAAGTAGGACGGAACGAACTGCTGCACAGTAAACCCGTCCTTTTGTTGCTAGACGGATATCTCGCCTACGCCATAAATGGCGCAAGTTGGCAAAAGCTAGACGAGCCTTCTGTATCCGTGCTGAGATTTCGTCATACACCAGACCACAAGGGCTGATGAGACTCCCAAGATAAGTGAAGCGGTCAACACGCTCAACTACTTCACTCCCTATCATTAGTTCAGGTGTCAATGCAACCCAATTCTGAAGTAACATTTTGCACTTCGAGGGGGAGAATCGCATCCCTAACATGCCTGCATTGTTGCTTATAGTGGTCAGAAGACTCTATATTTTGTCAGCATCTTCATCAAATAGAACTATGCCATCGGCGTATTCTAAGTCAACAAGTGAGCCTCCTGGTAGAAGTTCAACTCCTGGAGATTTAGATGATGAAAGTGTTATCTCTAAAAGCATGTCAACGACAAAGTTAAACAAGAATGGAGAGAGTGGACAGCCCTGACGAACACCACTTGAGGTAATCAATTCTGATGACAGTTCGCCATAAGCTCCAACTCGACCAGTTGTATTCCAGTAGAGAGCCTTTATGAGGTTAATGTACTTCTTTGGTACTCCTTTCATTGACAAACACTGCCACGGAACCTCATGATCAACAGAGTCAAATGCCGCCTTAAGGTCGAAAAATACTATGATTTTGGGACGTCTGAATGTGTTTCTATGTTCTAGGACCTGACGTAGAGTGAATATCTGGTCTATGCAACCACGTCCAGGTCGGAAACCAGCCTGGTTCTCTCTAGTCTGCTCTTCGCGAGCTTTGGTTAAGCGTCCAAGTATTATTGAAGTTAATATTTTAGACACTATATCAGTCAAACTGATCCCTCTGTGATTGTCACAGGAGGACTTTTGTCCTTTCTTATAAACTGGCACAATCAGTGATTGGGACCAGTCAGGTGGAATTACGTCCAGTTCCCAGATTTTACCTAAGACCTCAGTCAATATCGCTATGAGTATTTATTTATTTAAACACATAAATATTGGTACAAGAAAGCACCAAACCTGAATGTCTGATCCACAAGGCAGTGGAGCATCGTGAGGAGATGCATTCCCAAGGTAGCCGGTGATCAACGATTGATTCGTACGCCATTTGTTCCCTCAGTATACTGGAGCCCATGTGCACCATTGGTTTGGAATCAGGGTTTTCCAACTCCCCTAGGTGGATCCTCTATATCCACCAACCCGGTTTAAGCGCCAGACATTCACTTTTCGTCCTCTCAATTTCGTAAACAACACCCCTACCACGAGAAGGCAGTGAGTAGGACTTCTCTGGCAGAGGCTATATATTCGCTGGCCATGTGAGAGCATTTTGAGAGGGAGAGTGGACTCTCCCCACTCTCAGTCGTACCAGGGCATCTGGGGGCTGCTAATACTGGACCACCACCCTTAAAAATCTCAGGAGTAAGCCTATCAGGGCCTGCTGCTCTCCCTCGCTTTAGATTTCCTATAGCTTTTTCAACCTCGTAGAGAGTTGGCGGACTTATCTCAATTTGCCATTCAGGACGACTGGGGATCGTGGGTAACTGAAGTGTGGCTGAAGGCCAGTTAAACTGATCCCTAAAGTATTCTGCCCATCGATCCAATCTCCTGGATTGAGAATGAATGAAATGCCCATCTTTGTCTGAGATAGTTTCGCTAATAGTTGGGTTCCTAATGCCGGTTTCTTTAATAAATCTGAATAGCTGTCTGCTGTTACCTATTGCCGCTACCTTTTCCATCTCTCTTGCTTTCGCTACCCACCACTGTTCAAGATGATTGCGTAGGCTTCTTATTAGTCTGCGCTTAAGCTGACTCCGCTCTTCGTTATGTTTAGAGTCAGGTGGGATGAGTTTTCGAGCATCTATCAGTGCGGTAGATGCTGCCGAGATCCATTGTTTCTCCCTAACCTTATGGTTTACTTTACTAGCGGATATCACTGCCGTTTCCACAGATTTTCGGATGTCATTCCACGCCGCCTCGGGGTGTGCACAACTTACATGTCTGTTTAACTGTTTTTCCAGTTGTTCCTGAAATATATTCTTAGCTTGTTTATCATTAAGTAGAACCCTTAGAGGCTTCCCTGCAGTGTCTTTCGTACGTCCAGTAAGACACAGACAGATACGTGCTCGCACTAGAGCATGATCTGAATCCAAGCATATGCTCCAGAATGAGCGACAGTCTTCTATCGAGCCCCTCCATCGGTGGCTGATAGCGATGTGATATAATGGGGTCCAAGGTTGGGACGAATTCGTGGGTCGCTATGTCAAAAGATGTTTTTCCTTGTGCTTAAAGTTAGTATTTGCAAAAACAGGCCGTTATCTGAGCATAGCTTCAACAGACGGTCGCCAATATCTGTTCTTTGAGCCACAACACCATAAGATCTACCCAAGTGTCTTTCCCTTTCGCTTAGTTTACCTACTTGAGCATCAAAGTCACCATCTACTATCTCTACATCAGAACGCCGAGCTTTCCAGAGAAGGTCGGAAAATTTTCTGTAAAACCCATCTGTTATATCATCTGAGCTGCAGTCAGTGGGAGAGCAGACAGAGACGACGAAGAGGCAACGACGGGTTCCCCTATCTTTCCGAGTCCTTACTGATCCGTTTAGTCGGACAGCGCATAGACGACTGTCTACTGGGATCCAGTCTAAAAGAGCTAGTTCTGCCCTACTACTTTATGCTATACCTACTCTAGCGAGGCCACGGGAAGCAGCATCAGGGCTTCCAGATACACGAAGCGTGTATCCAGTTGGTTCTTTATTTTGATTAGGTGATGTCAAATGAATGACACTACTCGGATCTTGTATGCGCGTTTCGGAGACGCAACACACATCGATGGTGTAAGATTCTAGAGTCCTAGCTAAAGAAACCTGTTGTCCTATTTGGCACAGTGTTCGGACATTAAAAGCTCCAACATGTACTTTATAGCGTGGTTTCAGGAGACTAGGAATGACGTTCCGCGTACTTGAATCGTTTGCCCTAGCGGTGCGAGGTGATATAGGGGCGTGAGAAGGGTTAGTCGTGGTAATAAGAGTTATTAGGAGGTGTAGGGATGATTTGAATGTGACCAATTTGGTCTCGTGTGCTGTTACGGATATGAGGGCTAATATCACTTCCCGGCTGCCCACACTGTGGAAGGGTATTTCGTAAGGGACCTGAAAAAGGGGTTAGATTAGTGTTACTCTTAATTACCTGAGAGCGTGACCACTGTGCTCAAGGGACAACTGCTTGATGCCGGTCACGCACGGCCATTTTGTGGGGGATTTTTGACGTGTTAGCTCCGTTCTTCAAAGTACCCTACCGCCGGAGACGGAAATCCGTGGGATAAGGCGAGGTGTGCATTTTTAGGATCGACCTTTGCTAACCCCACCCCTCCTTGTGCCAAGGCAGCATCGCTGTCATGCTGGTTGTCTGAAGGAAAAACCTTACTTCCGTCACACCTCTGTACAGTCAGCAGTACGACTTCGCTTTCGTACCTTGGGATTGCTGCTTTTAATCTTACCGCCTGGCATGGTAGGACCTTGAGGAACGATTGTTCCGGCCAGTATAGCTCGATTGGTTCATCACGATAGGCAAGCCCGATCACCACGTCAAGGTAGCAGCAACGGTCGGGATTTCTATACTTGACATAAGCGATTTTTTAGCTTAAATATATCATAATCATACTGTGAAAGTGAGTTTTTTTCTTGACTTTGATTTTTTTTTCCATTCAGCTAAATCGTAGAGTCAAGTTAGTATGTCTTAATTATTCTAGTAAATAGAATTTCCTATTTTGTCACTTGATCCTAGTTATTATATATTCATTATTTAGCGGTGTATAATAACAAATGAAATAATAGTACCCTTACATATTGTCTTAATACAATCATTTAAATGATACAATGGTTAATTTTTCTTTCTGATCGGTTTAAAATTATGACACAAGTATCAATCACATGTTGTTCCGAACATCTTAGTGGTACAGTAAAAATTTGAATTGAATGAAAAAGGTAATGGAAAGGATTATAACAATAGCTCAATAAAGTTGGAAAACTTTGCTTCCAAACCAATGATACATATGGGCTCCACGCTCTTGAGGGAACAAATGACGTATGAACCTATTGTTAGTCACCGGCTACGATAAGACTGCATCTTCTAAAATTGCTCCACTGTCTTGTAGATTAGACCTCTAAGTCAAAGGTTTAGGGAGTGTGGCCCCCCAATAAAAACCATCTGCTTCATTTTGGGCGCCCGATCAGTATCACAGCCCTCACACAATTATCATTTATTAGCTGTTTTGGAAATGTTCACAAGATTTATAATTAGTGTCCAGTGATTAATCCTTCAATTCAGATGTAATCAGTATCATAGATTGTTTGTTTTCTTGCAGAAAATGACCAGCATTTCAATGCAAACAATCTTTCGTGTTGAGAAACATTACTGTTCGTCATATTAACAGTTTATTATGACTCGAATTGATAATGTTATTTAGAATGAATTTAACTGTTAGATAAATAAATTTAAGGTCAAATTTTTCTTATTGATTATCCTCTGTTTGTGTGTTTTCCTAGAAGCTTGTTATTTTAAACACACTTTATAAATGTGTGGTTGAACTTAAATTTAATTCAATGATGACATGATTGTCTAGTTTAATTTTCGCTGAATACATGAATTTGTTATTATGAATGTTATCTGTTGTATCCTAACAATTCGTTTTCTTTTTATTACAATATTTTTTCTTTACTGTATAGTGATTTAGCAGCCCGCAATTGTCTAGTTGGCACACAACATACTATTAAAGTTGCAGATTTTGGTTTAGCTCGTTGTATAGAACGTGATCTTACTTATCGAGCTCATGAAGGCGCTAAATTTCCTATAAAATGGACAGCACCAGAAGGTTTAGTCTATAATTTATTTTCAACTAAATCAGATGTATGGGCATTTGGTATATTATTATGGGAAATTGCTACCTATGGGAAAACACCATATCCAGGTGTTGAATTACAAGATGTTTATGTTTTATTAGAAAGAGGTACTCGAATGCTTTGTCCTGAAGGTTGCCCTGAACCAGTTTATGAACTCATGTTACAGTGTACGTTTTATAGGTTGTTCCACCAATTAATTAAACTATTTTTTGATTATGTAACTTGAATAATTATGTTTTCTTCTCTTGCATTAGTTATATTTTGATGTAGGGTACACGTAAAGCTTTTTATTCATTTGTATTTCTTTAACATCAGTGTTAAGTGAATTAAATAGCGTAGGGCAGTATTCCAGTTCTCACGAAAATCGTGTGATTTGTATGGCGCATATATATTTGGTTCCTCCTTGTACCAATGTTTATATGTTTAGACAAATAAAATAGTGTAGACTGTTTTCAGTTTGCTAGGTTAACTATATTTTTTGCTTCGGTTATTTCTCAATTATACGGTCTTTACACTAAGTTATTTTTCATGTAACTGTGATCACTTTTAACAGATATTTGTCGAGCTTAGTAAAGCAATAGACCTCTCTAAAATGTAGATCAGCTATTAGTTAATAGTCGTTGCATAGACGATATTTTCATAATATTTATGAGTAACATGGTAATATAAATTAATACAATGATAAATTCAATAAAATCCGTTCATTCATTCGACTGTTTGTAGGATTTAATAAATCAGAAATGTACATTCATCGTGCACCTATTTTGATGTAGAGATCGGAGTCTTGGTCCCTATGTGTTTCTCAGTACGCTCACTGCATAGAATTTCCATTGTTTCTAATAGAGACGCTAGTAAATAGATATGAGAGATCCAATGTTATCATGAATTTATTTTCGACTGCCATCTATCTTATCAACAAACTCTAAAACTAGTCTCTTGTCTTGGTCAGGTTAGTAAGGCAAGCCGTGTCTGCATAGTTTCGACAAACGTTTTTTTCAATCTAGTGGTCCTAACAATTAAAAACAAAGGCAAAATGTATGTCTCTACCTCTTCTATATGTATTTAAGGGTTTATTTTCAGTTGTACAACTAATTACATCGGACACAATTAGTCAATTTTGTCTTTGGATTTCTGAACACGATCCTTCATTATTTAGAAAACAGCCACTTAAAATGAGTAACTGTTCTATATTAATATATTTGAAAAAAAACAGGGCATCAAATTGACTTGAATGAAGTTTCTTTGAGCATTTTGTCATGGTACATTTCTACTAGTTATTTTTTGTGTTTAATGGTTAATAAGTTAATGTGGGAATCGTATTTGGTTTTGGAATAATTTGTCAACTTATTTAAGGTACAACAAATCTAGTTTTCGTTCTGCCTAGTGTTTGCGCAAAACTATAAATTGTAGTAATTAACTACTCAGTGTTTATTTTCTCTATAATATCCACTGTTGATTAACAACTAATACATACAGTTGTTTTGTCTTAAGAAGCGAAATAACGTTTGTCTGCATCTAACCTTTCTCTTCATACTACAAATGAACTTTGTGTTCGAACCCATCTTAAACAGACTGATTATACCACTAGCCATCACACAAAAAGCACCATTTTAAACCAAGTACATACGCCTATGCTTGGAGAATTATTATTATTTATCTATAACGTCTAATAACCAATGACTATCTTCGACAGTTGGTAGATTTCGGCTTCTACGAATAAAATAAATTATTTTCAAGTTAAATAGATTCATGTATATTTACTAGAACAATACTAATAGGTTAAATCTGATGATGAATAAATGTGTTTGCTACTTATTGTCGGCTGAAAATAACCATCCATTGATCACTTAGCTGGTTGTAATTTCTCTGTTGCACTGAATGATTCATATGTCTGAGGAATTTCATATTTGTCTTATTATTACCATTATAATAATTATTAGACACATTTATTCAACTATTAGCCTTGTTTTAGGTACACACTTTCGTTTGCTGTCATTTCGCTTTTCAACAAATACTTTTATCTTTATTTCCTTGTTTTTATGTTTTCTCTGTCCAAGTGGAGATAAGAGGAAATATTGTGTGTATCTTCTAACCGTTACTACTAGTATTATTTCTTTGTTATTTTAAGGAAAAACGAACAAACAAATGTCATGTGTGTAAATAAATAGCGGTTCTCATTGTATATTCATCCTTCTACTAAATAATTAGCTTTTCTAATATCTTTCGTTATATCTCTCTCCCTCTTTAAATGTATTTTGTTCAGTTTTCATAGTTTATCATTAATTCATTGATGGGATCATTGAATTGCTTATGTTTTACTCCTAGCTGCACTCGATCAATTCTGTTCGACAAAAATTAGGTTACTTGTGTAACACATTTTCATCAAACCCTTATTATTATTTTCTTTTCGCTAATTATTAGTTTTTTGGCTTCTTACCCTCGAGACATAGATATTATTTACTTGTAATAATTTGATTATTACCGGTCAAGGGTATATATATATATGGTACTGATAACCCATTGGTTAATATTTTCAACCTCAATCTTAAACCTACACTATCTACTTCGGTCCAGATACCTTAGTGTATTGTCGTCGAGTTTTACATGATCAAATTGTCAGAGTACATAAACTTGAAAATCACACCACTTAAGAATAAATATGATAGTTTTAGAAAGTAATTGCATAAATTTCTTTATTTTTTTGTATTGTATTCATTTTGTTTGTTTAGAGAATCAACAATAAATGCATGTAGAATAAAAATATAAGTTTGCTAATCATCATAAGGGTATTGATATAGTTAGTCAAGACGTTTAATAGACGATAATTTAATGATTTTCAAAGGATTCGTCGACTTTCAAACTTATTGTATTACATACTGTAACATAATTTGTATTTAATAAGCAGACAAACAAGTTTAAGTATCCGAGAGATCATAAAATAACATAACAGGAATCCTGCTGTTCTCTTATCCATTATCACTACTTAATCTTATGAAGAAGGTATAAAAGTGAAATACCTGTTATTGTATTACACGTAATTTAGTAATTATTCATAACCTTCCTAACAAGAAACTATTTAGAGCTTACATAAGAATCGATCGATCACTGAGTAGTGACTAGTGTTATGTTTGTGTTGCTTGAATAGCTCAGTGGTAACGTCTCAGATTGAAGCTAGGCACTGTGTGTTCAAATCCCATAAGTAGCAACAATCTGCCCAAGATAATAAATACTTCATATTCAAATCTGCCCCCCCCAACACGAAACATAATTGCAGGGCTTCTCACCGACTGCCTTAAACCATTTAATAGAATTGTAGTTAGGTTTCAAAATCAACACAGATTTTGATCCTAAGATGATTTTGATAATGAAAATAGTCGTTTATTCAGTTTGATTCGCTATAAATGTATATTTCTTGAAATTCCTAAATGAGTATTAATTCAGACTTTTCACTCATCATTTTTTCGATTTATATTTCTCTTATTTTCTTTTGTACCAAAGTTAGATATTACTATTATTATCATCATTATTTCAACTTCTATGTATTTTGACCATCGTTTATTGTGATAATTTTGTCCGTTACTTTAATGATGATGATGTCACATGTCAGAAGTTAGCTCAATGTTCATTTTGTTTTGATTGACTGATATTGAATAATATATCAGATAGTTCATTCTTCATCGATTTTGTAGTTTATTCGCATATAAAATATTGTGAGAATGAAGTTAATCATCTGTTGGTTTTGAGTAGGATAACAAACATGCTGCATAATATTTATTATTATTTATTTATTATTTATTTATTTACATTCATAGAACTAAATATAGAGTTCACCAAGTGTATGGTTCCTGTTAAAACATTTTTTTTTACCAAACTAATGAATCACTTAACTTTTGTTCTCTGAAACAAGTTTATTTTAGCACATAAACATTTCACATTATCTGACATTTCCATTGATGTTTGGTACTATAACCGATCAGTCTCTCTTTTTGGCATATATACATCCTGTGCAGATAGTCTTGATGTATTGTTTTTTCATACTAATATTTATCTCTTTTTTTCAGGTTGGCAATGGCTTCCAGAACAACGCCCACCATTTTCTGATATATTGAATCAATTAGAATCTATGCCAACTAATTCTACAATGGAAGAAGAAGAAGAACAAATTGATTTTGATATAACTTCTACTACATCATCGTCATCGTTATTATTAAATAACAACGAAATAAAGGTGATCAACTCTAGTGAGTCAAATAGATCCATTAAGCATCCACCTAATATTGCGTATCCCCGACCACCACTTCCTCCTAGACCACCCCCACCAAGAAGAAGTACCAGTTGCGACTATTTAATTGATGAGAATGATGATAATCAATTTGATATGATTAAAGGTTAGTTAAAGTTTTGTTATTGAATGTCGCATGCATTTTTAAACAGTTTGTTAATTTGATTTTGATTAAAGTATTCTGGTTTCAGTCTTTTTGTCACACGTTCCAAATCCTACTCCAACTACTTCAATTCAGTCAGTTGGATAATGTCACTAACTAACCCTCACATCTAAAAATTGACCGAAACTTAACTACAAAATTCTGTACTGTTGGGCAAACGGGTTACTTCTGTTTGTATTGCTGTTGTTGTTTTGTGACAGATTTTCAGTTAAGGTGATTTTAATTGAGTGCTGATACTTGGGTAGGATTTTGTTACTTGGACCGTATAACATTATGAAAAATAACAAATGGGACTATGTGATTGTTAGTGTTCAAGTTATTGAACTTTTATTCTGACTGATTTTACTGAGTTATTCTGACATTATTTTTGAGTATTATCAATTCACTAAAAGCCATTAACTTCGTTGTAAGAACTACTTAAAATTGACCATCATAATTTTTGACAAGTTTAAGATATATTATCTCTTAACTACACCATAACTTACTCTCCCAGACTTCTTTGAGACTCAAATTTCTTTTGGATAAGTTCTTTTCCTCTAGCCTTGTTTACACATCATGAAGAAGTGTAGGTTGTTAAGTTCTTTTTGTAAGAAGAAACTTTCGTCATTCATTCTTATAAACATTATGTCATTGATAATATGCTGTCATAAAATAGTTCATGTAATAATTACTATTCTACAAACTCATTTTTATCATATTATTTCTGAAAAAAGTAAAGTAGTTTTGTTACCTCTTCAAGTTTTACACATTGTCAAGTATATACTTCAGCAAACAATTGAATAAATACTTAATCTGATGAATTCTATTTTGATCTTGTAATTTACTACAAACTTTAGTGAATCATTCAAATAATAACTATATTTTAAAGAAAATATTATTCATTCAAATATAATTGGTTTTATGTATTTATTCATTTAGCCCCCAAGGAAGCACCAAATATATATGTGCCACACTTGACCATTTCATTTGTGTGAGGAATATGATACTGCTCGGATGCCCAAACCAAAGCAGGTGGTTTACTTAGGTGGCTACTCTCCGATCCTTAGACCTACAGATCTAATCCACAAGACAGTGGAGCAATTTTAGGAGATGCGGTCTCATCGTAGCTGTTGACCAACAATAGGTTCATACGTCATTCGTTCCCTCAAGATTGTGGAGCCCATATGCACGATTGGTTTGTGATCAGGGTTTTTCAATTCACCTAGATGGATCCTCTCTATCCACCAACTCAATTAAAGCTCCTGACATCCTATTTTCATTTTTTGGATCTCGTAAACAACACTCGTGGTGAGAAATCAGTGATTAAGTTTCCCTTTGGAGTGGCTGCATATGCGTGGCCATGTGAGAGCATTTTGAGAAGGGGAGCTGACTCTTCCCACTCTCTGTCGTACCAGGGTATTCAGGGGCAGTTTAGATAATATTTTATATTTAATCTTCCTAAAACTATTAACATAAAATAATAAAAGATAATTTTGTAATATCTTAATAAGTAAAAATGTTCTATCACCGTACACACACATTGATATTTCACACAAGTCAGATTGCGCAACGTAAGATTATAATGTTTTAACCAATTTCGATTTTCATTGTACTAAAAATATTCTGCAGCGTTTCCTTTGCACTATTAAATTTGTATTAATTTTATTTCGGTTGTTTTTTATCTACTCTGAAAAAGTGGCTGGAACTAAGCCAGGAAAAGTCAGAAATTCAAATTTCTACTTTTATTGAGATTTCATAACTGTTTCTTTAATTCATTATTAACTTTCCATTCAATGCTCAATTTATTCGAAACCGCGACGATTGACACTTGTTGTTATTATCGGTTCTATCGACCAGTTCTAGTATAATGATTTCTGACTTATTGTGTTCGTTCTCATATACTTGAATTCGCCTGTCTTTGGAAATAATTTCTCAAGTTGAATGCAAATATATTCAGATAGTCAGTTAAAAAGAATAAACATTTATCTACTATCACAATTCCTAGTAATTGACTTTTCAATAGTACTCTCATCTTTTTTGACTGTTTTCTTCTCGTTTCTCACTATTATTGATATCGTTGTCTTTGTTCTATGTCTTTTGTCTCTTCTTCTGTCTTGTCGATATATAATGTGACAACAGACATGAATTTTAACACATTTGTGGAGACTGTTACAGATGATACGCAGAAGTTCACTTGGTTAGTAGTTGTATTCGTGTGCATATAAGTCAGTAAATATTTCTGAATTGTCTGTTTTTACTGGAATTTAATCATTCAGCATTACTTTTTTGAAGTTATGATGTACTATCAAGTTTTGCGGAGTTATTTCTCTCTTTCAAATAAAGAGATTGTATGAAAATACGTAACATATTGTTTATCATAGATTTGAACAATTGTTTGACTGTACTCAGCTCGGAACAACAGAATCAGCGGGTTAGTTATTATTTGTCACATTTTGCAAACTCTAAGTTGAACTGTTTGAAGCAAATGTGACTATTGTCGTTTAGTACAGAAAAAAACTACTGACAAAATTTTCCTGTTTTATCAAACAAACATCATAACAGTTCCTATGGTGTAGTGACTACGCTATCGTATATTTTCATAAAGTCCTCACTAAAAACTTCATATTTTTCTAACTGACGTTAGTTTATTAAACCTAACTTTAAATTCTTAAACTATCAGTTAATAGAACAATGCCTTAGTCCTTCGAACGTTCAAATTCTCATTATACTGAGTTATTAATAGTTTGAACCCTATTCCGTTAACTTTATTTTGGACAGCCAGATAAAATGTCTTTCATTAGACCCAAAAGTAGTCAAATTCACAGAAGCATATTTGATTAAAAGTTGCAGCATAAATTCACTAGTTAACATAAATCCATAATATTTTTTACACATATTTTTATTCTTGGGTCATCATTTCGTTTACTCTTATATCTTTTTCAGAGGATTGCAAATCTGATTTGGGTAGTGATATACCAGTAAATGCTATGAATAATAATAAAAATAATGTTAGCCACAAATCTCATAGAGGTATATTTACAAGAAGTTTTAAAAATCCCCTTTCGAAACAGTTACATATTGGTGATCTAAGTACTGATGAGTTTGGTACTGCTGAAAAAGATCTGCCATTTACAAACTCAGGATCTCTCGGGCGTAAAAGAACTGCACCGCGACCACCAAGACGTACTACACCAGTTAAACCGTTGAATTTCTTAACTGATTTCAATTTACTAGAAGATAATAACTGTGTTTGCCCGAATCCCTATCGGGATGACTTTGATCATGCACCACTCCCACCCCCACCCCCACCAGTTCACCTTGATTCTAGTCATCATCAAATACATCAAACCCGATCACAACAACATCCTCGTCCAGCACCACAGTCTAATAATGGTTCACTATCAAATAACTCAAATGCAACACCATTTTCAGTGCCATCAGTTATGAGTAGTTCTGGTATGTAAATTATTTTATCAATTTACTAATTATATTTATGCTATAATTTGTGACGTTCGTTATTCTATGTGATATCGATTGCTTCTTTTAAAACATGTCAAAATAAATTTTCGGGTTTACGTAGTCAATATGTAGAAATATTTCCAAATTTACTCATTGGGATATTAGTATGTTTGGGAATATGAATGATATCTTGGTGATTTTAAACAGTCATGGTCATCTGGAGACCCGAAAGATTTTGATTTGATTTCATGTACTATCGGGAGTGTTTAGATTGTTTAGGAGTGCCAAAATAGAATGAAACAGCTATCAGACAGTATTTTACTCCGGGTTAGTTAGTTGCTCGGGATGGACAATGAATGTCTACATAGGTTTAAAGGTTCGTCAGTCGACGTACAGCGTTCCACTCATTATTATGTGCCTAGCCTTTAGCATCACCTACTCAGTATTTCTGCTGCACGCAGGTAATACGTCAATAACATTCTAAAATACTTAAAACGTGCTTATTTTATCAACTGGCAGCAGGAATATTTCAATTCCTCTAAATAGTGCAAAATAAGTTACTATGCAACGTATTTGTCTTTTGATAGATGTCTGTATTTTGTTTTCTCCAACGACGTTACTTTTAATTTTGTACTAATGAAGATGACTTAAATTCTTCCAGAGTCGTTAGCAGGCTATAGTTTGTATAAGTGCATGTTCCATGCAGTTTAATGTTGGAGGACTCTAACTAGCCCATTTTTAGCCAATCAGCGCCAGAAGATAGATGAAGAAGACTCTAGAATATTCTTGTACATAAATTATAAATTTACTAACAGTTTTTTTTCACTACAACTGTTATTTTCATTCCACTCGGTTTATTTGGTTTATGATCTCGTTCCTGTTCAACCGTCCTGTGATTTAGAGAAATGGTCAGATGAAGTGAAGTGTCCGAAAAATACTAAGTAATAAGAGTAGCTGGCTCATATAAAGAGAGGTTTTTAGAAGAGTCGATGACAATATGAAATTACTTGTCTTCCTGCATACTCTAAACTCCCTCGTATTCTATACTAAAGCAATAACAGTAAATATAAATAGCCTTTCAACTAAGTACACTTCTAGAGAGGAGTACCTAGTAGATTGTAATTTTACTATGATTGTTTTCATCTTTTTTCTCTTATATTACAGCAATTTTCCCATCTTCTCGTCAGTTTTCATATGTGGATCCCATTCCATTAGATAACAGCCTGACCAGATCAATTTGTCCTGACCGTCTAATATCACCGCTCGCTCCTCCCACACCAAGTAAACATGTTCAGCTGTCTTCAAAGTCACCAGCTTTATCAAAATCCACTGTAAATTCGGATTTATCTAACAAAACTAATCCCGTTGTAGATGATTCCCACAATAAGCGCAGTATGAATTCTAATTTTCTTAATGAATCTTATTCAGGGAATAATGTTTCATCTAAGCCAAATGTTCATCCTACCAATATATCATCGTCTGTCTTTCAAGAGGAATTACGAGATAGATTAAAACAACATTCTCAACAGCTTAAAAGTTCATCTCAGCAGAAACCTAAAACTATACCAAATAATTCACCTTGTAATGTTACTAATTCAGTGATGTGTAATCAGGAAAAAAGTGATTCAAAATCATCGGTTTCTAATTCTTCCCCTTATTTCACTATCCCCCGATTAAGACCACCACCACGCTCTGCGAATCCACCTCTAATATCTTCTAATAATACTTCTGGATCAAGTAACAATCAAATGTCGACACGTGGAAAAGTGGAGCCTCCACATTGTTCTTCAGAATTGATCCGATCACTTGCATCGACCCAGATCAAAAATGATAATGCTTCTAATTCAACTGTCACTACGACCAGCAAGTTGCCGACAAATATCAATAGTAATAATAACAATTCCCCAAAACCTCATTTCAAAAGGTCTGAAAATGAAATCTCTGATAAATTATCGGATATAATACAAAAGCGTTTAAGTTGGACTGGTCCAACTGATGATAATTCAGCTAGTAATCAAAAGCGGTCTCAACGATTATATCTACCTACCATACTTTCTACATCATCTACAGCATTGGACGAGACTAATGGTAATAATCACTGTGTTCCACCAACAAAATACCACTTGAAAAAGCATTTATCAAATATTTTAAAGGAGTTAGAACGTTTGATTCGTATGAATGATAAAAAAATTCCTGGAAATATTGCTTCCTCTCCTTCCTCCGCTGCCATTTCATCATCATCGTCTACTTCAAATTTAGAACAGTTAATTGAATTAGCTGATCAAATGGAAGCATGTCGACTTAGTTGTTCTGCATATATTGATCAGGCCACATGTTCAGCTCGAGCAAAATTTAATTTTCGTGATCGATTCTCATGTTTACAAACATTTAGCAGTTTATTACGCTCTAAAAGACTCGATTCTATTTGTAATAATAATACTAGTAATCTAAGTAAGTACAATAAAAATAATACGAATTTATTAAAAGACGCAGAGAATGCTATCAAAGAAATTATTAATGATTTAGACAAACTAACCGATAATGTAAATACAACATTAACATTAGAGACGACATTGAATAATTCAAATTTCCCAGAACATAAACCTAATTCAAATTTAGCAACATCTAATCAGTCCAATTTAACTTGTACAGAAAATCTTAGTATTACTGACAATAGAAGCGCTACAGTTTTCACTTGATTTCTTTACATCTATTTGCATATTATTATTATTACTATTTCTGGTTAATATTAGGGGATTTTACAACGAAATTTATTGTTTACCTGTTTCCTACATCTCCAGGATGATAACGATATATATATATATATATATATATATATATGATTGTGTAATTACTGCATTTTACCTCCATCATTCTTTGTTTGTTTTTCTCTGTGGATTTAGACAAATTCCTCTTTTTTATGTAAATGTTTAAAAATTATTTTACATTATTTTACAAATTATCTACACAGTTTGGGTGTTTTTCTTCTCATTCCTTCTAATCTTCGAACTATTCAATAGCCCATGCATTAAAAAGTGTATTAACTTGTTTGTTTGTGTTACTTCAGTTTATTTCCTTTTTTTGTATTCATCTTTTTGTGTTTTTACATACTCATGTATTTCCAGAATAGACAAATCAGTCAACCTTTAACACAACTCTTTAATCCACACTGCTATTCATCTGGAATACATGTACTTCGCTCCTTCCTTTGATTTCTTTATTATCTAAATGAATATATATGTACTTATTTCAGCGCACATCCTAATTTATACTGTTGTAAATAAAATGTTTTGCATTGTTTTTTTCGTTCTTTCAATGTTCAGTCATTAATTTTATTACTATCATTATTTAATTCTCCCTTCTTTGTAGTATTCTTCACCAATGTTCCAATAATGTTCTGTAGTATATCCCTTGCGATTTGGTATCAAAAATGATTATTTTTTCAATAGAAAGCAATGTTTTTTTTTCTTGCTCCGTCAGAAATAAAAAGTTTTATGTCTGTTCCCATATTCAACTACATGCGCACAAATTTCCTCAATCATTTGAGTTCCAGGTGAAATTATAAGGTTGATCAGTCAATATGAACATTTATTTGTTCATTTGTATAATTTTATTCTGAGATCTGTTTATTTTCCCCTAATTTATCCTGCTATCCGTGTATTTTATTTGTTCCCATTATAATCCTGTATCATTGTTGGTGCGTATTTTGATTACTTATTTTAGATTCTCTGTCCTGTTACATGGTATCTTCCTGCTTATTCTTTATTATTCACCCCCTCCCCCACCTATAATCCCTGCCTAACTGTGATCCTTGTGAAAAAATAATTACCATATTTATAGTACCGTATTACTCTATTTTGTTCTTAACAGCTTACTACTTCTCTTCATTCTTCCTGTTTTTCTAATCCTTCACTCCATGTATTTGTTTTCTATGGAGTGTTATGGATCTGGTCATACTCATGATGCAATTAAGAATTGTCATCATTATTATTATTACTATTAGTAATTGTAATCTAATGATCAATATATAATAATTTTGTTTACAGTATTTGATTTTTTGTGTAAATATAGGATGACCTATGCACGCAGATTGCACGTATGTTCATTCAATATTTTTTGACTGATTTTTAATTAGGTCAACAACAGTACGTAACTAAAGTTATATGAGTTCATGTTTAGAAAATGTACTTTTTCAGAAAAAAAAGTAGGAAATTAAATGTTTCTCACTATTTTCGACAATAGAAAACAAAAGCTTATGTGATAATGTTTTGTATGCCAATTTCAAATCTAAAATTATCTCCAGAATAAACATTATCACTTTCTTATTAGCTCTACTTATTTCTATGTTATAAACTATGCAGTTTTTATTGAAAGTTCGTTTCTGTACCTTTAAGCCTACTTGTTATGTAAAGGTTGCTGATAGTACCACACTGCTCAAACTGAATAATTTGCGTCGTAATGATTCAAGGGTGAATGTTTAAATCCCAAAGTCGTAGTTCCGATTTTCGCTTTGAAGTTCGTTTAAAGTCAATACCATATATAATTTTATTGTCCCAACTCGCTTGTTCTTTGATTTAGATTTTCAGTATTGTAAAGTTATGAATCAGCCTAAGCTGCTTTCACGTCGAGAAAGTGGGACAATTCTTTGAGAGTTATATAAGTAACATGATGCTGGATGGTTGTAAGTAATCACATAGAGGATTTGGTCTAATACTAGTTAGGACTCGTTAACACAACGTTTCTGCAAACCTGAAGAAACTGGTGCTATACATTCGTTTTGTATCCGCGACAACCATTTTACCTTCGGTCCATTCAGGTCAAAACACAGTGCATATGATATTGATTCTGTACACTGCAACTTATTTGATAAAATTCAAATACTACTAAGGGCTAGATGATCATCATATTGATAACTACTCAATGACCAATCAGTATAATTGTCGTTGAACCAGTAATACTGTCAGTTGTCAAGGATTTCGGTATTAAGACAGATGAAACAAATTACGAAGTGAATAAGGAGTGGACTAATATCTATGGGGAGATAGATAATTAAATTGGATCACTCATTCAAATGAAGGTATATTCCTAAGTAAGGGTTTTCGTCTCATGGTGAACCCCAATACTGATTTTGCAATTCTATATATCACAGGCTGGTAACTTCATGATACATCGTCCTATCTTTTTCTGACACATGCGGGATTGTGAATTATAATTGTTTAGTGAAAGACATAACTCGATCTTTTGAAGATGAGAAAAATCCTGACGTACTCATTAAACTAAAACAGAAACCACCTTATTAAGGATTACTAATTTAGTTCTTTCTAGCATTTTATCGGTTGGGTAAGTGTCTAATATAAAATATAACCTGAATTGGCTACATTAGTTAATGTTTAGAACTCTTCACTCCTATCATTTTTACACACTTATAGAAGATATGCTCGTTAATGTTTGTTTCCCCATATAGTTTTCTGAAGATTGACCTCATACTTGAGGACTCGATCATCTACAGATCATATAGATGGGTTAAATATATATAGTGATAGCATTGTCGAAAGACTATAATCTAAAAATCCTCAATAACAATGTGCTAACTCCTAACATTCTTCATTAAAACAAAATCATAATCGTATTCATTGTGGTAGAGTATTTTCCATCGTAATTGACTGATACAGTGGTTGAATATAATCAATATGATCGACTTTTTGAACCTTAGTAAACGCTTATTTGAAATATGACATTCACAGTTGACATTGATGGTTATTCATAAAATGTATGTAGAGTTTGTGGAGACCGTTGAATCTTCATATTCTTCAAAATGGAATGATCTTAGGCAGTTCTTAATAATCAGAAAGTACTGGAAACCTGTTTTGTCCTAGCATGGGACTCACCCACTACCTTATCGTAGATCTAATTCGACCTTTAAATCTCACTGTGAACGTTTAGATCACTTAGCTGCCATCCAATAGTTTTTATGTCTAGCTTGAGTTCTTGTTGAAGTCATGGATGTGCACTCCTAAAGAATCACGAAGATCAGTTCGTCATGTAAACTATCAATATTAATCAAAATACAAGTGATTAATATGATAATGATATTTGAAATTCCTATAAAAGTAGATTTATCAAACGTTAAAAAATTGTTTTTTTAGGGTTAAGGTATTTGTAATAAAGTGATATATTCTTAGAAAATTTACTGAGTCTTGAGTCAAGTATCGCTCAGACTATAATTTATGGACGAATCAATCAGATATAAGATAACAGGTCTTGGATTTTGGGGCAAGATTCATTCATCCATTTGGCTAAATAACATCTTGACATTTGAGTTGTCAGTTGATGAAAATCCTAAATCTAATTCCTAACCTTAACCGTCAACTATAAATCATAATTCAAATTCCCCATACTGACTTATAACCCTCATTTGATCCTAGTTATTAAATGAACACTCTCAATGTAACTTTAACGTCGTTGAAAGGTCGTCCATAAATTATTGTACTGATCATAAAATGGTTTAGAATTATAGATAATGTTGCAAAATGTATAATTTAATTTATGTGTATATTTGTGTTCAATAAAATTACAGATACATTTCTGTAAAAATCAATTTAGCCTTTTATTATTGAATTTTTATAATATAAATACAAATACCAACAAATGCATGTGAACATATATATGTATATATTGTTAACTGATATAAAATAAACATAATCATAGGCATAATTTTCAAAAAAGTATTGATTTCCAATAAAGCATGAAAAGTATTTAGTTACTATGTAATGATAAATGAATTAGGATTTATTTGTTTATCAATATAATCAGTTTTTATGATTTAAACCAAAAAAATATCTATATCAAAATGTAAACCTTTAAATAAAACGGTCATTCGTTTTTAAAATATGATCGAATTCTTATTGATGATTATACAATGAATTATATTAAAAATAAAAGTGTGTGGGGGATAGATATCAAATTACTCAAAGAAAATTTCAAATATTCTACTAAAGGTAAGATAAAATGAGTAGGTGAATTTTTATAATAAATAATATTATATGGTATATTAAATTGACCATATAGATATAAAAATGTCAAAATAAGATGAAGTATAGCAAGCGGACAAAAATAAAAAGTAATCAAAGTTATAAGCTGATTATGATTATATCTTTTTAAAAAACAATATTTTTATATTGTTGAGATCATGAGTCAATTGAAGATAGACCACCATGAAAAACCTGGAAGCACTGGATGGTCGTTTTGTTCTATTATGGGACTACTCAGCAGTGCGCATCCACGATCTCGCCTCGCGAGATTAGAACCCAGGACCTATCAGTCTCGTGCGCGAGCGCTTAACCAATAGACCACTGAGCTGACCGGAATCCAACGGTGTTAATGTCTAACTTCAATCAATCCACGAGATTGAGCGTTTGCGTGCGAGGCTGATAGGACATGGGTTTGAATCTCGCGAGGCGGGATCGTGGATGCGCACTGCTGAGTAGTCCCATAATAGGACGAAACGGCCGTACAGTGCTTCCAGGTTTTCCATGGTAGTCTAGCTTCAATTGACTTATGATCTCAACTATATAAAAATTACTAAAATCTTCACAAAACCCCTTTCTGAAAAAAATATTTATTTGGTTTTTTGAGCTTGATCCTAATGATCTGATCATTGAAAACAGTTATCTCAACATATAAATCCACACAAAACTAAAAAAGAGATCGACATACTCCAATTGATAACTGTATTATTGAGAAAGCCATTCGAAACAAAGGAAATTAAGTGTAAGATATGTTATATGACCAGTTTAATATTTGTTCTTTCGGTCGAGATTTTATGTAATATCATCACTTTAGAGGTAGAAATGAGTTAGTAGTTATTTCCTACTAACTTAATTTTCCTCGTTTTATTGTACCCTTCGTTTATGAATAGTAATGGAAAGACCTTTTGTTTCAATCGGTGCATCGATGGTAGTTATATGTATCTTAATATGAGGAATTTGGTGGTGTAGTGTTCTATAGGTTGGATGGTTTTGTAGTGAAGCTTTAATAGTTCTTCTGGACCAGATTAGTGGTGAGAACTGAGTTACCAGGAATTTTCTACAATTTAATAACAGCTTGTCCTTATTGACCTAGGGTTTAGTTAACTCTTGTCCATAACTGAAATTGACCTATCATATCACCAGCTAAGAAAAGGTATTAACAACTGCAGGGTCACAGATCAAGTCAGGGGAGAAAACTATGGAGAGAAACATGCAAACAATAGCCACATGATCATGGAAGACAATCTACCAGTCTCTAGGTTAATAGAATAAACTGTTTGTCAGTTGTGAGAAAATTTTAATGACTCACTACTCTGTGAGGTATGTAATGATGATGTCCAAAAGAATAATGAAGGCTATATGACTAAACCATTCATCTCTGAGAAAACGACATCCAGAGTTTTCGCTTCTTTAACAACTTTTATTCCAACACATTGATTTGGAATATTATTTTACACTTAAAGAATGCTTATGGATAAATCTGGCGAGACTATAATTCATGGACGAGCCAATTAGACTGGAAGTAACAGGTCTCGGATTTTGACGCGAGATCTATTCATCCATTTGGTTAGATAACATTTTTGGCTTTATAGCTGACTTGATAAAAACCCTAAATTTAACTCCTAACCCTAAAGTACAGCGGTAAATCCTAATCCTGATTATCCACACTTATTTATAACTCACTAAGTAAATGCACACTATCAAGGTCAACGTAGCTTCATTTAAAGGTAGTCCATAAACTATAATCTCACCCCAAAGTTGACTCAGCAAGAGTTAAAATGAGCTTAAAGGGATCATGTGCTTATCAATCAATGAATCTTCGAATTACAAGACTAAAAATTTTACAGAATATTTTCAACTGTGAGTTGTATATGTCATGAATTCGAAACATTCAGTTACGCTTCAGAGATATACATCAACTTACCATCAGACATCTAATTGTATCGTCTAGAAAACACCAGTTCTAACTGTTATATACATTAAAATTTCATTATGACTATAAATTCATATTACCCTATTTACTAATCACACACTCAGCAAAGAGTAAATGACTTCATAAACTTGAGAAAATTTCTTTATTTAATAGAATTATTAGATCATTGTTAGCAATATGATTTCAATCTCATATTTATGTACGATTCTATTTAATTTATAAACTTATTCAAGTTAGCATCAGATATAAATTATTTTAACAGTAAATTAATTAATTAATATATTTGTAATATCCTAATGAATAGAAAAAATTAGATTTTTTGACGTTTCGTGACTCAGTTTAAGCCACTTCTTCAGAGAATAAATAAACAAATTAACATTAATCCAAGTTTAAATAGTACCTAACAGTAAGTATTTTATGTAGTTGAATATACAGTTCTATAAATAAATTGTACAATCCCAAAAAAATTTTTTTTACCTTAAATGTAATCATTCGTTTGGATAAATAAACTAAGGAGAACTAGAGGGAGATTTCTGAAAAAATCAATATTTTTCATACATATATATATATATATATCATTTTTTCTTCTTACTATAGTGTAAATTTTTAAATTAAAAAAATAATCAATAACCAATTTATTAACAATAATGGGTATCAATTCACTTA